TGTTTTGATGTGAATTGCCTCCCACCCTCATAGATCTTTTGCTTCATGATGCTCCAAAGGTTCTCAATAGGGTTGAGATCAGGGGAGGATGGGGGCCACACCATGAGGTTTTCTTGTTTTATGCCCATAGCAGTCAATGATGCACAGGTATTCCTTGCAGCATGGGATGGTGCATTGTCATGCATAAAGATGATCTTGCCACGAAAGGCACGGTTCTTTTTTTTTGTACCACGGAAGAAAGTGGTCAGTCAGAAACTCCACATATTTCACAGAGGTCATTTTTACACCTTCAGGGACCTTGAAGGGGCTGACCAGCTCTCTCCCCATGATTCCAGCCCAAAACATGACGCCACCACCTCCTTGCTGACGTCGCAACCTTGTCGGGACATGGTGGCCGTTCACCAACCATCCACGACTCCATCCATCTGGACCATCCAGGGTTGCACGGCACTCATCAGTGAACAACACTGTTTGGAAATTAGTCTTCATGTACGTGTAGGCCCACTGCAGGCGTTTCTGCTTCTGAGCTTTGGTTAAGGGTGGCTGAATGACAGGTTTATGCATAACTGCAACCCTCCTGAGGATCCTACACCTTGATGTTCTTGGCACTCCAGAGACACCAGCAGTTTCGAATACCTGTTTGCTGCTTTGCAGTGGCATTTTAGCAGCTGCTCTCTTAACCTGACGCATTTGTCTGGCAGAAATCTTCCTCATTGTGCCTTTATCTGCTCGAACCCGTGTGTGTTCTGAATCGGCTACAAATCTCTTTATTGTACGATGATCACGGTGAAGTTGTTTTGAAATATCTAAAGTTGTCGTACCTTCTCCTAGGCATTGAACTATTTCTCGCTTTTCGGCAGCAGAGAGATCCTTCTTCTTCCCCATATTGCTGGAAAATGGTGGTCTGCTTATTAATGTGGAACATCCATTCTTAAGTAGTTTTCCCTTTAATTGGACTCACCTGCAAACTAATTGGCACAGGTGTCTGAGATTGATTGGAGTGATTGGAAGAGCCCTGACACACATTCCCATCCATGTGTTTAAACTGACAGACAAAAAAAATGACCTTTATGACCTTTAAACACAATTTGCCTAATAATGTGGAACGCAGTGTAAAGTGACCCTTTCCTGCCAGCTTGCACGCACATCATTCTGACAAGTTTAACTTTCCAATATTGTTATCATTAATCCTACAGCACAACAAAGTGGTCTATAATGTTTTTTAATAATTTAAAATAATTAGTAAAGTCAATGAGGTAGTATTAAATATAATAGTTGGATTATCACACACTATTTATGTCTGTTTCCTGTCTGTTAATACTTCTCTCCTCACACAAAAACCCTGGAACTGAAAATCACTTTGAAGAATCCTGGGAGTGTATGATAGAGACTGATCTGATGTCAGGTGTGATCAAATCTCTGATGGCCAATTTCCATTTCTGAAGGGAAAAGGTTTCCTGCAATTCACTTTTCATATTTCTGTGCTTTTACTGTATCATCTATATATTAATACTACATCTCATTGAATTATCAAATTTCTAAATGTGTTACGGTAGACCGGATCCTATGGAAAGACAGAGTGACAGTGATCCTCTCTCTACCCCCCATCTTTTTCTTTCTCACTCTCTCTCTCTCTCTCTCTCTCTCTCTCTCTCTCTCTCTCTCTCTCTCTCTCTCTCTCATTTACATTTACATTTACATTTACGGCATTTGGCAGACGTCCTTATCCAGAGCGACTTACAATAGTGCTTTGAAGTCTATCAAAAATACATTCTGATACCGGCTCACTAGGTCACAAACTAGGAATACCATCAGTCCAAAACTCTGTTGTTTTTTTTTTGTTTTTTTTTTTCCCTCTCTCTCTCTCTCTCTCTCTCTCTCTCCAGGTACGACGCCATGTTGGCCCGCGTGGGTGCTATGACAACAGCAGTTCTTGGCTCTGCAGTGTTCTGGGCACAGCAGAAAAACACTGAGCCTGTACAGGCAAACTTGAATTTGACCAATACTCCTAGTACTGACCAGTCCTCATCTGAATATGAGCTGAAACTTGTTCAGGTGTTGTTTAGACATGGGGCAAGAACACCACTGAAGTCTATACCGGATGTTTTGGAGGTGAGCTTCACTGTTTTTAAAAAAAATAAATAAATAAAATAAAAAAAATCTTACTGAATTACTGGAGCAAAGATACAGATCTAGAGTCAGTTTAAAGCATTACCCAAAAGTGTTACACATTACCGCTTTGTAGTCTGCTTGTATGTTAGCTTGTTGGTCTTTCCAGGCGCACTGGGTTCCTGACCTCCTGGAGGTTCCAGATTACACCAAGATCGACTATGTAGTTACAGACCTACAGGGAGGCCCAAGACCCCCCTCTCCTGTGGAGGACAGCTACAGAGTCAGGACGCTGGCGGTCAGTGCATGTGTACATGCTGTGTGTATGCAAGGCAGAGAAGAACAGGGGTGTTGAATATGGCAGCTAACATGCGGTCATTTTCATGAAACAAAAAAGGGAACTTAATTGTTGTTCCATTACTTTCTTATTTATATCCAAGCATGGTAAGGGCTTTTCCACTGACAAAGACAAGATAGATTGTGGGATTTAAAATGAAACCGAGTATGTAAACTGCCAAAGTACTTTCCACATGTCTTCGTTTATTCTTTTACTCTGTGTACTCTGACCCGGAGTTTTGGGTGCGTCATCCAGTCAGTCCGTGACATTGACCTCAGATTCCCTGTTCCTTAGGGTGGCACATACCCGGGTCAGCTCACCACACTGGGCATGAAACAGCTGTATGATCTAGGACTAAGGCTGAGGAGGAGGTACATTCAGGACATGGCCTTCCTTAGCCCATACTTCAACAATAAAGAAGTTTAGTGAGTTAATCTTTAATTCCCTTCCACTGGTATATAACCATTCTGTACGATCAACACTGCTCGCTGCTGATATGAGTTTTGAGCTTGAGTCTGTTCATCTGCAGCATTCGTTCGACCAACATCGTCCGCACCATCGAATCAGCCAAGTGTCTGGTAGCAGGGTTGTTCCAGCAGCAGCAGGCAGGTAAAGACAAACGCACCATCTATGTGTGTGTGGATGTGTTGGGGATAAATCAGAGAGTGTATTATACCCCTCTTATGTTCTTTTTTTCAGACACTGTGCCCATCCTCACAGAAGAAGCAGAAAAAGAGATCCTCTACCCAAACTACCATGGATGCAGACTTCTCAAGCTGCTCAGTGGGTGAGATAAGATGTTGCTGTTGTTACTCTTTCGGCTGCTCCCGTTAGGGGGGTCGCCACAGCAGATCATTGGTCCGCGTATTTGATTGGGCACGGTTTGTACGCCGGATGCCCTTCCTGATGCAACCCTCTCCAATTTTATCCGGGCTTGGGACCGGCACTGAGAGCACACTGTTGTACGCAATATCAGTGGCTGGGGTCGGTTCGAACCCAGGCCGCAGCGGTTGAGAGCGCTGTGGCCTAACCACTAGTCCTCCAGGGACCCAGTCAGTGCACTAAGATAGTAACTGAAATCTTTGTGATAGATTATTAAAATTATTATTCAGAGGCCATTAACTGTTGTAATATTATTCTTTGCAAGTAATTTTGATTTCCTGTTTTAATTACTGATAGGTTTTGACAAAGTTGCTATGCAACACATCACAGCACTGTCATATAGATAGATATATAGATATATACACACTAATAATAAATAATAATAATAATAATAACAGTAATAATCCATTGATTATATTGGCATGTGGGAAACAAACATCCAGGTTCTGAACCTGCTTTCATCATTAAAAGAACTCTGTAATTTTTTTTTATTAAAGATATCAACATGAGAATCTAATACCATTCAAATAAATAAAAATCCATAGGATCTATTTGTCATGCATCAAGCACATACAAAACCAGACACTACAAAAACAAACACACCAACTTTGATGCCAACATTGCTACACGCTGCAATACACACATCTACAGATGTTCATCCACAAGCACAATGGTTCCATTAAATAGTTACGTATTCCAATCTGTGCCTCGGCAGACTCCGAGTGACTGTGAGCTCAGTATACTATAGGTGTATCAAATTAAGTCTACAAGCCAAATCAAAGTGAGGTTATTTTTGTCCTGGATAAGGTACATTATTTATATATATATATATATATATATATATATATATATATATATATATATATATGAGGTATATATCAGTATTACTGTCTGAAATTATTTGCAGTATGCTATTTTGAAATGATGTGATTGCTTGCGGTGTTTTCTGGCCTGCAGTTCTCGTTGGGCAGAATCATCCACACTGCCCGACATTGCTTCTGATCTACAGAGCATTCAGAGCGTGTTGGGTGTCAGGCCTCATCAGCATCTCGACTTCATCCTCATTAGAGATGACATGGTGGCCAGACAGGTTGGAGCAATGTTTTGCACACTTGCACACTCTAGGAGCCACATAGCCATATCGTAGTAGCTCTGGCAGATGTTGTTTCTTAAAATCATCATAACGGTATCATTTCAATATTTGCATCTTGTGCTAATATGGTAACGCAGCAAACACACTCTATATCTGGTCTCATCTGCACTTACTGTATGTACACATGTAATAAATGCAATATTTGATAGTTTTGCCCATATAAAACTTTCCTGGCATGACTAAGCTTAGAAATACTATCAGTATCAGAGCAGAAATTTTCATTTTGGTCCTCCTTTTAGACTCACAGGCTGCCGTGCCCTGCAGCACTGGATAGCTGGAGAGCTAAAGTAGAGCAGAGAGCTGTGGATATGATCTGGCACATCTATGAGCCTAGTAACAGGTGAGCTACTCTAGAAGGCATCTTTCAGCCAAGAAACTTAAGCATGTGGCTTATGGATTCTTGCACATTTTGCAGATTTAACGCTATAAAAGAGATTTAAAAAGGCTTTGTGAGCTCTGACCATAGCATTAAAAAATGAACCTGTTCCTCTTTATTCTGTATATACAGTACAGGGTGTCTGAAAAGTCAGGAAACAATGGGAGTTAAACTGCATAAGTGTGATTTTGTATTTATTATTTATCTGCTTTTTTTTTTCTCCTTATAGGTGAAAAATGGCATTCAGTGAAAGGGTTGAGATACCGTATTGCTACTTGTTACTTGGTACTCTCATTCGTATCTGACTTTTTGGACTCCCTGTATATATATACACTATAAGTCATTGCTGCTAAATAGCAGGAGTTAGCGGGGAACTACATACTGAGAAAATGAAAGCATTATGGACTACAATTGTGTGGGTTTATTGTAATTCAGGGAGAATCTACAGCTGTGTGTGGGTCCTGTCCTTCACACTCTTCTCACTAACATGGAGACCAAAGTTCAGGGTAATACCTCTGATTCAGACAGGTGAGTGGTTTGAATACTTGAAAGCATACACACTGTAGGATCTATAAAAAGTAGTCACATCTACACCAACAATAATTTCTTAATAATCTGACACCAAAATGAGAGACAGGGGACCTATTTGGATCTACGAATCCTAGGAGCACACTACTTAGTAAGTAATCTTTATTTGTTTAGCAGATTTTTAAGTGCTTCACGGTACTTAATAAACCACAGTCCTTCATATGTCCTTCATACATGAAACAAATGTGTATATATAGAACAGGTACAGTTATCTTAAACACTAAAGCTACTGCTAAGATATATTAAAAGCAAGATTATAAAAGTGCGTTTTAAGATGTTTCTAAAAAATGCTCACAGATAACCTAATGTCATGATAGTCTAATGTTATAGTGGAGACTGATCTAAAGTTTAGCAGCAGTTAATGGCCCAGACCATGAGACAGACTGCAGTAAATCCTTCCTAGTCCTTTTTCTACTAACTCATAAACATTCTGTGAGATGCTTTAGCCCCCTAGTGTTGAGACCTATATTGCTTTTATGAGAATGTCTATCTATGTTTGTGGTACAAGGAAGCTGTTTCTGTACTCGGTGCACGACACTACGCTGATGCCGTGCTTGATGGCACTGGGTGTGTTTGATATGAGATGGCCTCCATATGCTGCGGACATCACGCTTGAGCTGTACCAACACCGGCACAACAGGCAGCACTATGTTAAAATATCCTACATCGGTCAGGTGCGACCTGTGACACGCACACTATGGGCCCTCGGTGATATAATGCATTGCTTATAATTCTAAATCTGTTCTTCTGTGCCTCAAAGGATCAGAAGATCCCCGGCTGTAGCGATGTCTACTGTCCTCTCACAGAGTTTCAGCAGGCTCTGTCCATGTACGCCCTGCCTGAGGAGAGCTACCACACCCTTTGCAACCGCAGAGCAGACATCCCCACCCACTGAGTTCACACTACCTCACGCCTTTGAAAACATGCACACAAGTCTGCTAAGGCTCAATACAAGCCAGTTCTGCTCAGTTCAAGTTTACACACACTGATAGAACAATTTTAGACTGCTATTGATTAATTGTTTTAAATTGTTTTGTTTCGTTTCGGTTTGTTTTGAGTAGTATCAGCAGATTTACATTTTAGTTTAGTCTCGATCATGAAGGCTCAGCCTTTACACGTCGCATGGTCAACAAATAAAAAATGCAGCCTGTACTTATTTATTTATATCTTTATTTACATCTTAGACATAATTTATGAAGTTATGCCTAAGAAGACTTGGTTCTAATCGTATCATCAGTCACCTTAACACACAAAATGCAGTATGCAAGATATTATGTAAGCATAGTAAAATCTAATTCAGAATGAGGCTTTATTAAAGTGAGGTACTCCTCACAAGACAGAAAGAGAAATAGCCCTGAAAAGTGAACTTATTTATTTGTTATAAAGTAATCAACAATTTGCCACTCAGGGGCCACTTTGCATTTGTGGATTTACGTTCTTCATGTGTGTGCTTATTCCCCCGCTCTATGGGGTGTTTTTCACTGCACTGTTAGCATATCTGCGATGTCAAAGATAACGTAGGTGGTTTTACCTTAAGTAAATATCAGTTTTTGTGGATTTAATTCAACTTTACTTCTGTCGTAATAATGTGTTCTTTTAGTAAATATAAAAAGTATATACAGTCATGGTGTTAAGTTTTAAATAAATTAATGAGTAGTCAAATATTTTCATCTAAATATTTTGCTCAAAGCATGCACAGAAAAGGCCTCAGGTCATGGCACTTTTTGAACATCAACACGCACTTAGAGCTCACTCAAATAATTAAACTGTTCTTTTCATATCCGAAAAGGTAGGTGTCATGAAAAAACGTTAAAATAGGAAAAAAGAAAAAGATTCTTAATACACTGAAAACATGCACAAGCTATAGTGAGTAGTTTTGTAGTAGTTTTGCCTCTATATGGTTGACGGGCAAAGAGTAGGCAATGTTTTGTTTTTGTTTTTGTTTTGTTTTTTTTTCCCCCTCAGTATTCAGCCGGCCAGTTTCAGTGAGTCGGTGCCCTCTTTAGCCTCAGATTCCTGTTCTTGGCTGACAGTATTAGAACTCTATGTGGTCTTCTTCCCATCTGCCAAGCTTTGACATGCTATGCATTCTGAGATGCTTTTCTGCTAATCGCAGCTGTAAAGAGTAGTTATTTGAGTTACCATAGCCTTCCTGTAAGCTGGAAACAATCAGGCCTTTTTTTTAAAATTATTTATTTATTTGTTTGTTTGTTTGTTTGTTTTTTTTGCGCCATTCTGCGTAAACTCTGTTTAGGCTGTTGCATGTGAAAATTACAGATGATCAGCAGTTTCTAAAATTCTCAAACCCTCCTTGAGTGGCACCAATAACCATGTCATGGTCCAAGAGATCACATTTCTTCCTCATTCTGTTGTGAATATCAACCTGTATGTGAGTGAATCTATGCATTACACTGCCGCTACATGATCAGCTGGTTAATTGCACGAATGAGCAGGTGTAAAGGTACAGGACCCAAATTCAGACAGTCCTGAATTACACTGTATGGCCAAATGTTTTTGGACACCTGAACATCACAATCATATCTGCTTATTGAACATCCTGTTCCAGAGTTTGTTCCCCCATTGCTGTTATAACACTTCACTCTTCCGGGAAGGCTTTATGCTTTATTTTGGAACATGGTTGTGGGGATTTTTGCCGTTTTTGTTACAAGAGTATTAGCGAAGTCAGGTACTGATGTCGGGTGAGGAGGTCTGGGGCACAGTCAGCATTCCAGTTCATCCCAATGGTGTTCAGTGGGGTTGAGGTCAGGGTTCTGTGCAGGACACTCGAATTCTTCCACACCAACCTTGGCAAACCATGTCTGCATGGAGCTCGATTTGTGCACAGGAGCATTGTCATGCTGGAACATGTTTGCATGTTGCCCCTTAGTTCCAGTGAAGGAAAACTGTAAAATTTTGTGCTTCCAACTTTGTGGGAAAAGTTTGGGGATGTACCACATATGGGTGCACTGGTCAGCAGCTGTCCACATACTTTTGGACATATAGTGTATTTACCTCATATATATTTCTTGTTATCAATTCTTATCAATGT